CGCACTTTCGCTTAGATAATATTCTCTCAGTGTGTCGGATTGTAATAATAATTTTCGTTTTTTCTCTACCGTAGTTTATTCTTCTTCACTGTGTGTTATGTTGTTCGGTTGATGCTAGCACAGACGCACACAAATTTTTTTGAATTGTTTTACTGTTTATATATTTTTTTTTAATTTGTGACTTCACTTTCTGTCTTACGTGCGAAACATGCACGATTTTGTTTCCTCTTCGATTGGATACCGTCGATTCTTATTCAATTTTTTATTTTATTTTTGTTCTTCTTTTTTCATAAGGTTATTCAAATCTGCTTGATGCCTCTTATCACATACAAATAACACACATCACTGCATTTACAAATTCAACTTGTTCTGATGCTGTTGTTTTCAATCACATTTTTTTTTCTCTTCTACTTTACTTTGCCGTCGATTCGTGATAGACGATACACACAAACATGTACACACAGCCACTCACTTTCAAATCACTTCGATAAAATAACAACAAAAAAGAACTGATGATTTTTCTTTTAAATTCAGCAAAACAATGTGATGCGATTGGATCCGCGTTTTGTGTGGTTGTGTAAAACGTGGTGTATCTCAATTAATTTAATGATTTTCACAATGGTTCACTAATTGTCTTTGAATTTACTTTTTTTTTGATTGGGTTTATTCGGTTTTTTCGTTTATACAATTACTGAGAATCAGTGTTAAAAACGTCCGCCGCCCTCAGAAGACGCCATTCCTTTCGTTTCTCTCAACTTGAATTGAACCGAGCGCAGCCTAAGACCAACTTTGATAGACTTTTTCGCTGCTATTGCCTTTGTTTGGTGTGGTACGTCGTTCTCGTATATACACGCACACATGACACATTGACAAGCGTTGCGATGGTATTGCGCCAGCTCACAACAGAGACAACCGTATGGTGTGTCAACATTGGATGAACATGCGTACGACAGAGATATGGCGAACGTGTATACGATGGTTTTAGTAAATATTGTGCACTGGACAGGAGTCTGACATCAATGTGTGCGTGTCTGTGCACATTTTCAGAATTGTGTACGCTATACTAACATTTGTTATGCATTCTCGCGACGCACGAACAAAAATGTGGATGAGTAATACGTGACAAAGACAACCATACGCTTCTCGATACTGTTGTTTGATTGCAACTGTTTTCATTCAGTTTATCGGAAATTTGCACAATGCCGCCGTTGATAGGTTTTACAAGCTTTTCGATACAAAACATAAGTGAAAGTTGTGCAACAGATTGACTCAAGCCAATCGAATGAATAATTTATTTTTTGCATTTCGACATTCATTGCGGTGAATTCTTTTATTTTTTTTCGATGACTTTTTTTGCAAAATGATTTTTAACGATTTTCGAATGGTTTCAATATTTTTTTAAGGTTATTTAATAAAGAATTTGATCATCCAATAATCTCGAACTTCAAAGAGATTTCAAGAGATGGCGCTATCAAATGAAGCTCTACATCAGCACACTCAGTGCTATAGAAATGGTTTGCGCCTTTGTTACTCATGTATCTTGGTGTATCACACTCGAAATCCAGTATATGCATGTTGTTAACATGTTTGTTCTGTTTACTTTACTTTTACCTTAACATGCGTTAACATGACTATGCATACGCATTTTGTGTTGCGCTTTGAATTCTGTATTTTTTTTTTGTTTGATTTTTTTCTCATTCGTATTGCCTTTGTTCGCACCACGCACACACTCTCACACAACCCACTTGCTGTATAGCCTTGAGGTTGCACTGCTCGCCGTTTTATTGGGATTTAAAGAAAAGATCAAAGGTTTGCTTCAACTCCGTTCACACTCATATGCACACGATGAATCGGTTTAAATCAGGTGTGAAATTGTTCACATGCTTGAATTAAAATATGAATGAAATTGTGCACCGTCGAACACATAATACCGTGTTCGATACCATGGATTTGGCTTCTTGAGGTTAGTATAATATCGCGTGAGAATATGTTTCAGCACTACATTGATATCATATGTGCTCTTTTTTTCCTGGCAAAGGAAGTGATTTCATGTGAGAAAAAAAGAGTTTAAATATTGAAATAAGGACTGCTATAACAGTGATTTTGAAAGAAAAACACGAATTTTTGAGCATCGAACACAATATATCAAAAATTACATTGTCAATGATCGACAAATATAAACAAAAATTCAGTCGTGTCTTTTGTAGAAAAAAAGCACATAGAACATTGCTAATAGATTGAATCTGAATTCTACTAGAAATGGACCTATATAGCATATCGAATTGAATGGTTTTGTTCGTGCTGAATCGATTCATTTTATTTCGAATGAGTCTGAAACGTGCGCCCATAAGTGGAATGCGATAAAAATGATAAAATGCGAGCGGAAAAATTTATGTGGTTTTCAATAGTGGTGATTTTGATTGCAAAAATACCACTCTCTCTCTGTGTGTATTGCAAAACCATTTTGTTTTTGTATGAGAATCAAATAAATACATATCAAATGGAATGAAAAGAGCCTGAGAGTCTCAAAACGTAGAGTGTTTGTATTGCTATGCATGCGCTCTATTGAATTCATCGATCCGAAATGGGGGCATTCAATAGATAAATAGAAATAGATTTTTGCAATTCAAACACAGACAAATGCACGCACACAAAAAAACGGGGAACCATTTCTAATTCAAAACACACACTTTTTATGGATTTTTGTTATTGATAGTCTTATTTTATGATTTATTTGGTAAGTTTATGGTTGAAGATTACCTCCTAAAAATGTTTATATCAATTTAAAATGTTTTCATATTGGCTTAAGACACAAAAAACGAAACAGCCACATACATAGCATATACTTATTTGAAAACATCTTAAAATCGGATAATTTTCGTCACAAAATATGGCTGGAAAAATACGGAGCTCAAGTGATATAAGACGCATGTGTTACTTCCGTTTAACACATGCAAATATCTGCAAAATTAATCAGATAAGAGGAAAATTGGGTTTGTAACTCCATCGAACGATGACAAATATTCAAGAGAGCATCTTATAATGTAAACAATGATAATAATTCATAGTGGAACTCTTGAGTCTGGTTCGTTCAAATCCATGCAAATGTTTCACACACACACAAGCAGCCCAAGTGAACAAACAAATGAACCGAATCAACATATGTTTCGTTTAAAGCATACGCTTTAAGTTCTCTGTATTTTGCATTCGTCTGCGGTTTGGATTGACCGTTGCGAAGATATTAAATAGCGCCCATTCATTAAAGATTTAATGAAAACAGTAGCAACACCATACACACATATGTTTGCAAAACAACCGGCTTATTGCTCTGAATAACAACGAATGTAAGACGAACGAGGTTCGATGGTGCTCCAAATCAAGTAGAAAAAGCAAGGCCAATCTAATATACGTAATAAGTAGACATTGTGTTCAAAGTGGATACAATGCGTTGGTTGACGTTCACATGTGCATTCACTTAACAACATGTTGATAGACGCATCCATATTCAACGTACGAATTCACTTCAATTGTATCCCCTTGAGAGGTTAAATGTGCTTTTACCTTCAATCCAAACGATGTGCTTGGGTCTAGGGGATAACCATGAATTGCAGATCGAATAATTTATAATAATAAACGCTATTTCTCTCTATTTTTCACTAATTCTTCTAGTATTTCTACTAGTTTGTTCTAATACTGCTAGTTTTTGCTAATTTTTCTAGTACGTCAAAAATATTGCATACGTCAGATTGACTGCATGATCGAATAACCGAAATGTGTTTACGTAAATGTTTCAAGTTGACACTTTCAACGTGTATATTTGAAGCAGGCATGTAATCTATTTATATTTATTGAAGTTTCAGTCCTTTGAATATTGAAATTATTATCTACATTACAACATCAGTGCTATCAAATCAAGTTTCGGGCTGTATATATTTTATTAAAATAATTTTTAAGTGTTTTTTTCTCTTGATTACACTCCACTTGCTTTGTGCTTCCAAGCCTGCTTCATTAATTTTATATTTTTCAATTGAATTAAAATTATTTAAATTCAAAATTGATTGATAAAATACTAAAACAGAAAAATTGAATATCGTGTGAGTACTTGTCATATAATTATTGTTTACCTAGCGTTAAACGTCAAGTTTTACGTTTACAGAGACGTATACGTTTTCAGTAAGAAATCTGTCATCAAATCTACATTTCCGATTGCAATTCGTAAATTATAGTTAATACAGATGGAACGTGCTTGGTTAAGTGCCATTGAATATATTTTTATTTAAAAATGGGAAAAAGCGTATTTAACTACATATTTTGATACATTTTAGTTCAACACTATTCAATTCGTTTGTTTTGTGAATTTTATTTTAATTAATTATTGCAATAAATTCAAGAATAAATTCTTACTAAAGTATATACGTGTACAGTGCTAATTCTGCTATTTATTGCTAATTTCTCTATTTTCTTCATGTAAATTTCCCTATTTTTTTGCTAATGTGCTAATTCTAATTCGCATGGATATCCCCTAGGCTTGGGTTCATAATAATGATTTCATTTCATAAGGTTTTTGCTCTCTCACTTTCTCTCGGACATTCAATATAGATTGCCTCTTTGCTGGCCGCTTTGGGTAATTTTATCGAATGGATGGTAATAAAGCAATTTGGCTGTAAGATAATACAAACATGTTTTGCATACGTCTATCTCTATATCACATACAAACCATAGAAAATCATCTTGAGAATCACTTTCCAACAGCAAAGAACCTTTTTGATGATGATTTTGGGTTCCGGATTTTCTAATCAAATATTTAGATGATTTTTATTAAAAATTCTAAATCAGTTTTTCACCATTTAAAATGTAATCCAGAAATAATTATCGCAATTGGCTTAGTACAATATAAAAGCCAGTTTGAATGCTTATATGATGGCCATATATTATGTTTGACTAATAAGAATGTGTTTTTTTGCGAATATTTTGATGATTATATAATTTAATATATGCAGTTTTCGCTTGATTTGAGATATATTTGTATATTGCACAAAAATTTGGAGAAAATAAAATTTAAAGACTATTTTCTTCTGTCGATGTCGCTATATCATCCCACACTAGATTATCTGAGATATTAGTGTCCTTTCGGTCCTCTACGCTATTTTCCGAACCTGAAAACTCTTGCGTTTGCGTGCTATCAGTTGGACCAAGTAGTTCTGATCGTTTCAATGTCATAAAATGTGGTTCTTTAAAGAAGATAGATAAACGAGAAAGTCCCATTCTGAAATCAAATGACAAATTAATTGAGTTTCAGAAAAAGTGCTTTGAATTAATCAATGAGAAAAAACATACACATTGAATTCATCCAATGGATTTTTGAATGCTCCGAATAATTCTTCCCAGCTGAAGTTGGCCTCTGATATGTCGGCATCATAAGAAATCGATGTACACGATGGCATACAATTGCAACCAGTTGCAACGGAATGCACATTTTTCAAACCTTCAACAAACACTTTTTCATACAACGTATCCTCTGCGTCTTGGTAGCATTTGATTTTATCAAAGCCACAGATAGGCGTGTCTGTATCTCCTTCAAAATTTAAGATAACATTGAATAAAAGTACATTTGAAAAAAAAAAACGATTCAAATTGCGGAAATCATTACTTGGCATTGAAAATTTGACACAACCGCATTCATTCTTTGTGAAATTCGATAAACACTCTAATTCACAATTTCGCTGCGTATAAACTTTAAAGAATCTCAATTGTCGCTCGTCCTTGAAATAGCACTGTCGTCTTTCTGCGCTGTAATCTTGTAGTTTTTCGGATGTGGTGATCATTTGTGGTTTTACTGATACCAAAACTTCCTGCGATAAAGGCACACGGAAATAATATTTTGATATTTGTGGAACTTCGGCTGGGTGATGTAAAAGAACTTTAAATCCTTGAACTGGTCCACGGCATACATAATCCATATTTTCTTCATACAATCGGAGCAATGTGAAAAGGCCCGATTTCGCTCCACCAACGTAACCTCGATCTTATTAAAAAAAAACAAAGATGTAAAAAGTCTATGGATTACTTTATGGATTAAATCTAGCAAAAACTATTCCTTACGTGGATATATTTCGTTGTAATTTTCCTTATTCGTTGGGATCATTATATCTTTGGCCATTCTTTGTTTAAAAAGAGTTGCACAATTAAAATGTGCACAAAATCAAATAATTCAAAATACATACTCATCAGTGTAAATATCCCATGGGTCGAGGGCATTAAATGTAAAGCAAAGACCTTCTTCGGTGAGAACAGGTTTGTAATGTTCATAGCAAAAACTAAATTTATTGCGCCATTTGCAGTAGAACAACGTGTCAAACATGTTGGGTGCAAGATTTTTGATTATGGAATAAATATCGTTTGACGCAAATTCTTGGTCCAGCGAAAAATTCTCAGTCAAATGTGGATCGCAAATTTGGAGCACAGACTGCATTTGTAGCAATCTACAAGATACAAATAGCATTTATTCGGATTCATTTTATGAAATATTCTTTCAAACTTACTCTTCTTCAGTCATGTTTTTTTGCTCCATTAATCTATGGAATGCATCGGTAATGTTTAATTTTTCCTTATAGCTTTTTGTCTCGGGGCAAATTGTCACAGCTGGAAACTTCAAAAACAGTGACGTATTTTTTTCAGTTTTTTTTAAGTAAGTTGAAAACTCAAGTTATATGCCAAATATTCATTTGGTAATGTCAAAAATACAATGTACAATTTTTCAATTGCGTAATTTATTACCGGTATCGACCATACTGGAGTAAGTTTTCCTTCAAAACTGGCATATTCCGATATTGTGTCACAGTTCACCCCAATGTTCTGATTTAAACATCCACAAAAATAAAGCGATAGTCCGAACGCAAATATCGACCAAATTCTATTCAATGGAAACACCGCAAAATGTGGAATTAGAACCAGTTTTAAAAAAATTAGATGTTACTTCTCAGCATACACTGTATATATACACTGAATTAACGGACTTTCAATTAAAACATATTCAAAAATTAATTTAAGACACATTTCATTTTAGTCAAGTTTTTTTTTCAAATTTGAGTCATTCATCGAGTTCAGTATGTAATTAATTTTATGTTTTTTCACCATCAGTCGCTTACCTATCGAATATATTTTGAATGCTCATTTTGATTTCTTTATTTTTTAACTAGGCACAATGAAAGAAATTCTTAAAATGGGCTACGAAATGCACTTTTATTTTATACTATTTGATTAAATTCACTCATATTTCAACAATTTTATAATGAAAAATACTACCACGCGATAGTAGAAGCAAATGTACACTGCCAAAAATGTGTGCTCTAAAATCAATTTAAATGGTTTTATAAACGGATATAAGTTTCCGTCCGACAGTAATTATTACGGTTTAAGTTTGCATTAAAAAAACTCATTCTTATCAAACAAGAGTCAATGTTAAAAAATTCGCTACTATAACGTAGCTATGTTGCTTTTCTATTACGCCTTCAAATTGTAAGCCAGTCAGATAATTTCACTCGAATGATGTCATTCTGTTTTAAGCTACACATTCTTTTTAATTTCAAAATCACTTCGGCGCTCATTCTTATTACATTGCATTTGCAGGAAATGATGCTTTATCCAAAAGTTCATAACATACGCGAATATTTGCGATCTGATAAAGTCGCACGCGCTATAAGAGAGTGAATATAAGAGAGCAAAAAATATAGTCGTAGAGACATGTGTGTCGACATGTGTCGACTATTCCTCATGTGATAATTGAATACAATAAAAAAATTGTGTTTGAAGTACGGAAATCAAATTCTGTCACTTGATTCTTCTCTCAAGAATCAAATTCAAGTTTACAACATTGCAAATGTGTATTTGCATGAAACTGATTGAAATGTATGGTCCTATGATCAAAGTAAATTGATATCAACGTTTATTATTGGATCGTTTAAGTATTGAAGTGAATTGCTACTAATAAGTATTAATCCTGTTAACATTCTGTTCACCTCAAGTTTTCAACCCGCAAACGAGAGCTCAACGGCTTTTGGTCATAGAGAAAAGAAAATGCAGTGCTATCGCTTGAAGCCGATCTATTTAAATAAAATCGTTTACTCACCGGAATAAGTGCGTCTCTAAACACAAAACCTACTCCTTTGCTTAAACCCGTAGGTTCACTTTTACAATGAAAATTGAATTTTATGTGTTTTTTACCGAAATATTATGTTTCACTCCCATTTGAACCGATAAAAAAACGTCCTGCGATAGCCGTGTCCGAAATTATCCCATAGTTGTACTAATCTGACCAAATTGAATACAAGGCTCTATAAATTTTTATTTTATTGCATAATGTTTGGCATTTAGTTTCGCTTTACAGCCACTTCTATGGCCGTAAACATACCAAAAACGGTTGATGCAATGGTCCGAGCCAGTTTTGCATCGAATGAATGAATGAAAAAGTCTTGTTTACTTGGCTTAGGGTCATTTAACCGAGAAGCACAGCAAATTCAATGAGATGGTAAAAAAAGATGAAGAAACGATGGTGATGTCCAAAGTGCTTTCATTGTCCATGCAGGCTACGTTGTACTCAATCGCATGTTCAACAACCGAAAATAACGATGACACAAAAAATTATACAATAAATATCTCTCACAGACGAAGAAGAGTAACAGCACCAATGGCTGCAATCGTCTTGATCAACAACAAGTTCTTTTTTTTCTTCGTGCCCAAATGGACACACGATGAACGTGAATGTAATGCATACATACGCATATAAAAACCGTTTTGTCTATGGTCACGATCGACGCACAACAATCGAAATGAAGAAATAAAAATGCCAACAAAGGATGGAGAAAAATGAAAAGAGCAAAGAAAAACAAGCGGAAAATATAGGAAGGGAAAATCTCATAAAAAATGATTTACGGATTAGAACAGAAGTGCTGAACGACTTCGTTTTTCGTACTCGCACAAATCTTGCCGATTCCTTTTTTTGCTACTCTGGTTTGGTTGTACAGCGCCCAAACAAGGGAAATCATCATGCTGGTGAACGTGATACAAGGGTTTATCGTCGATATGTTCGTATCACATACATGTAATCGTTTCACTGGTTTTTTTTTTCATCCTCTTTGTACAACTTCCTCGTCGTCGTTGTCGTCGTCGTTTGTTGCCGTTCCCATCGTATGTGTCGTCTTTTTGGCATGCATGCGAGATTTATACGCTCATGCTTTATTAATATTACATTCGATTTCTTAATTCAGTTAAGGGAATGCGTTTAACAATAGCCAAAGAGCCAAGAGAAAGCGAAAATACAAGTGAATAAATCTTTATTTTTTTGTGCTTAACATTTATTTTCATTTTTGTTTTTTTTTTTATCCGACGTGAAATGAGTGTGTGTATGTGTGTGACGACGTGCATGTGTCAGACTGGTTACGTTACAACATCGGATGATACGAGAGATGATTGTTGTGTGGAAATTGTAACTAATTCTTATTTCGGCATACTTATCGATAAGCAATCGGAAATGGCAATAACGACATCGCATCAATGGTGGCAAAGACTCTTAATGTTCATTTTTTTCCCGATTGGTTTTTTGAACCCTCTTCGAATACTCTCACTCTCCCCCTTCCCTCGCCAGCTCAATAACATTGACCCGACAAACATGCACCCGCTTATTGATTTCGGATTTGAAATTTATTATCCCAAAATAAGTGTGTATCTAGGCTGAACTCGAGTGTAATAATCTATAATATCATTGGCATAATTTTGATATTTCGCGCACTTTTTTTGTTCCGGATGAGTTTTTTTCTTCGCTGCTGAAAGGGAAGTGCTGTCTTCGATCGTATCGAAGTGTGGTAATTATGAGTATGATTTATTTGAGTGTATTTTGGGAATTCAGTAAATTGATTAAAAATATTGTATTTTGCGAAATTGGACTGAATTCAATGGCATTTCCCAGCAGTAATTTATTGATTTAGAGCCCATTTTCAATCTAACTCAAATGGCTTTCTTCTCAACTTCGACCAATACAATTTTCCTTTCTTACTCTCTTTGATTCTCTCGAACACTCATTCTCCCATGAATCAAATCCGACTCCTTGGCATTTATTACCCGTTTGCTTTGAATTCGATTCCATTTATTGAATTCATTTAACAGGAAATAAAAACAGTTCGTTCTCTTTGAAGAATGGCTCTCTCGTGCATACAATCAATTTAAGTTAAATCAAGCACAAACATTTAACTGTTTCAAATTCAAACGAATGTCGTCTTTCTTTACGTTTTTCTCATATTCTCTCTCTGTGATGGCAAAATGTTAGGAATTTCACGACATTTTCCAATTTGATTTGAACGAAACGAGGTATACGGTGTCTTTATTTGATTTCTTATTGAATTTCCATTTCAAAGCGCTGGCTTAGACGACGGCGACGACAATCATTTTTGTTTATCCAATCAATTTACCTATAGCGAAACGGTGTGTTGGAAAATGTCAGAACACACACACAATCGAAATGCGAAATGAAAATGGCTCGTTTCAAAATACGATGATGTGATTGAAGACGAGCACAAATCGGCTGCAAGGTAAGTTGGTTTTAGCTCAATGATGCATCGCCAATAAAACGTAATGTCATTTTCTTGAAGCAATGACAATAATTTGGCGTTTGCAATCAATCCAAAACCATAACTTCTGCATCACAGCTAATAGAAGACTATTAGAGTAGTACGGGTCGCGCGTGCATGCAGCTCAGACGCGCATACATTCAACATAATCCCATCGTAATGAAAAAAGAAGGTTACGAGATCAATCGCATCCATAAAGAGATATTCTGGCATAAGGCTTATTGCAAATTGCATTTTTATGACAATGGATAAATCAGACCAATTTCGATTTGGTTCTGAAGCAAAAATCCCAAACCGTTGCTTATTTAGTCAAAATGGTGTTTCGCTGTGGTTGTTTCTCATTCCCATTTTGATTCTTCTAATTTTAACAACAGTATTCATTCACACTAGTTTTTTATTAGTTATTTCGCATGTTTTAGCTAGAACGATTATGTTGTCATTAGTTAAATCACCATCAAAGCCACGGAATAATTTCGAAATTGGCGATGACATGTGATTGAAGCGAGATTAATCACAAATTACCAACTTGTTATTTGATGTTTGGTGACGAAATCGTCATTCATTTATGTGAACGTGTGTTGAGGTAATATATTTCGAATCGAGATGATAGTTCGTTGATTTGAAACTATGACTTTGAAGTGTGATGTTCATAATCTATCTTAAATTCAAACGACGTCAATTTTCTTGTTCAAACACGTTCAGTCGATTAATCTGCCATGTAGTGGGATACAATTAAATCAAACGCAATTCCATCAAAATCCAATATTTTCGACTACATTTTGGAATTCATTCCATGATTTGATCAAATTGCATAATCTTACACGTTGCTAAGTCCAATAAGATTATTTTCATATTTTTGGGTTCAATTTGGCCTGAAGAAGAAAAAAAAAATCATGTTTGGACTTTTAATCAGGAGAATCCCTTGTCCAAAGACTTCACAACCAAAACGAGCCATTTTATTAGAAAAGAAAACAGTATGCAGAACCTAAACAAACTAAAATTTCGTGAATTGAGTGAGCGTGGAAAATGAAAAATAAACTAATCAACCAATTTAATAACAGCAATAGATGTAACCCATTCGAATCACCACCATTTCAGTATAGACGGGGTAAATGGGTTTGTGAATGGAAAATTTATGCAAATTATTTTATTCAAATCCAAATGTGCACACTTACAACTTATTATTATGTTGATGCTTTTGTACACATAAGCATGTGCGCCGCACATAAAGAAAGTCTCTTTTTTTTCCCGAAAATGTATTGTCGCACGAAAAGACAAGACTGAGAATATGCATATATCTCTTTTTTATCTGTTAATATGCAAAAATGCTTGAAAATATGGCAGCCATAAAGAAATTTTCGTTTTTTTTTTGTATGTGTGTATATTATGAATTCATAACCAAAGCCCGTTGGATAATGGCAACTAATATTAGATTTCGACAACTCTATCATATGAACGGCTTCATTTGCAATTTTCACCGTATCAAAGCCTTGACAAAACTAAGGGATAACTGAAAAGAGTCGTTTGCATGTTTGTGACATAGAAGCCAAACAAAGAAACCAATGCATAAGAATCACTATTTTACTATATTGCGGCACATTCACTTCTCTGCACGGTAACTGTGTGAAATATGTTCAGGCATTAGCATCTTTTTTTGTCTACGTACTTCCATAAAATATTTTGTTATCAAA